CTTGGGAAATTTTCTGCCATCACTTCTGTGAAGAGTTTTTTTATGTCATCTGCACTCTCTCTTCTTTCTTCATTGACTTAGATTTTGTTTTTATTGCTATATGGTTTGAAGCAAGGGTTTTCCTAAAATATACAGTCCAGCTAGTACTTCTCAGTGGAAGTAAACTGACAAGGCTTATGGACTCTGAAAGTTTTAAAACAAAGATATGTCTCTTTTAGAGTAAGCTCTTCCTTTGCTTTCAGGGCCTGTTTTGGTAAGATTTATAGACATCACTGTTTAGAAATGACAGCTTTGCTCTGCCAAGAAAACATGGCTATTACCCTAAATTTTAGAAAGTTCCTGAAATGAACCCTATGCCAGAGCTACAGAAGTCCTATGGAAACCTGAACCTGAGATGACATGAACCCTAAATACTATGTGTGAACAGGGACCCTAAATAAACATTAAAGGAAGAATTTCTTCTCACCAGTACCAGTGACCCATTTGGCTTCCTTTGTAGGTCACTAAAGAACAACAGTACATGTAGGGGAAGATATACCCAATTGTATTACTGTACAAACTAAGAAAACAGCTAAATAGAATTTTAAAATATTCTTTGATCAAAATATTGGCAAGGAGACACATTCATCATCATGAGAACACCTGAAAGAGAATTAATTTGTAAATATTTTGTATGATTGGATTTTAAACTTTGGATAGTTGGAAAAACCATAATCACAAGTAGAATCCAAGAAGACTCTATGAAACCATCATCTAGCTTCAACAATCATCACATTTTGCTACTCATTTCACTCATTCACATTTTTTGTTATCTGCATTTTTAAGCAGCAATACCAGTCATCATGATATTTCACACCTCAATCCTTAAATATCCTCTCAGAAAAGGAGGTAATTCCTTCTTTCCTCCCTCCTCTTCTTCCTTTCTTCCTCCCTCACTCCTTCCTTTCTTTTCTTTCTTTCTTGTACTGGGGACTGTACCCAGGCAGTGGGAATGCTAGGCAAGCACTGTAGAGCTAGCTACATCCCCAGCCCTTTTTATTTTTTACTTTGAGACAGGTCTCACTAAGTTGCCCAGGCTGGATTAGAACACTGATCCCCCAGCTTCCTGAGTCACTGGGATTACAGATGTGGGCCACCAGACTTGGTGATGTTTTCATACATCATTGCCACACAATTATTGCAGCACGCATTATTACAATCATTCCTAAAATCATTCTTTATTCCCATGATGTGTTTGCTACAATTCCCAAATTTACCAAAATATGTTGTTCCAGAAATCTGTGTTTAACTCTGTTTAAGCTCAGAGGTCATTCCTCAAAAACATCTATAACTGGGCCAGGGATTTAGCTCAGTGGTTTCGCTGCCTGGTGCACAAGTGCAAGGACCCGAGTTTGATCCCTGGTACCAAAAAAAAAAAATCTGTAACTCTGTAACACCTGAAAGAGAGCAAAGTTCCACGCTAAATGGTAGGAAGTAATGCTTAATGCATGGAAGTGTTTTATAACAAGGAACAACCTGGAATAAATATCTCTGTTTGCATTGTTTTTGTCTATACTTTAAATGATTTCTTAGGATATATTTAATCTTAAGTGAAACTCAAGAATTACGATTGACTTAAGAATCTTGATTCATGCTGCTACCACAGTCTTTTCCAGAAAGTGCTGAGGATGAGGGCTTCTCTCAGCTTCCTACGCAGTGAAGTCACCTCAGCATCTTGCTAAAATGCAAATTCTGGTTCAGAACAACCATGGAGCGTCTCCCAGGTGACATCTACAAGGCCCACTTAGAGTGTATCCATGGAGGACCTGTTATGCGTTAAGCTGTGTTCCCCAAATTCATGTGTTGAAGTCCCAACCCTTAGCAATTTAGGACACAACTTCAGTAATTTAGAGTGTTGTTCCAGATGTAATCAGTTAAGATGAGGACATTAGGGTGGGCTGTGAATCTAATACGACTGTATCCTTATAGAAAGGGGAAATCCAGACGCAGACGTGAACACAGGGACATAGCTATGTGATCCTTAGGCTTGATGGGGAGTAGGGTCAGTTCTTTCCGCCCCTACAAAATCATCTGATACACTTTGCAGCCTGTAGGGGCCCTTTCTTGCTACAGCTACTGCCTAAGAGCCTCCGGCTGAGTCTTCAATGAAGTAGAAGTACATTATGGGAGTCACATGTATCCATAGATAATGATACTAAAAATAATGTTTAACAAGTCTTCCTATATATCAAGCACATATAAAATTTCATTTAACCTTCACAATGAACACATGAGGCATGCAGTGCTCCTCTTCCGAAAATCTGTTGCATATGTATGTGGTTTTTATGTATGTTTGGTGCTAGAGATGGAACCTACGCCACACTGGGTAAGTGCTCTACCACTGAGCTACATCCCAGCCCTTTCCTCCTAAGTTTAAAGAGCTTTGAGCTTTAATAACTTCTCCCAAGGTCACACAGCAAGGCATAGTTGGAATAGGATTTTGAATCCAGCCATCAGTCAGGTTACCCCCAGTGCCTCAGCCACTATCCACAGACATGGTCACCAAGCACTCTCCATGGGCAAGTACGCTCAGGAAGACACAGACCAGTAGGACCGGAGCAGGTGCTCAGCCTCCCTTTCTCTTTCATCAGGAGGGGCCTGGACAGGGCCATTTGACAAAAATGTGTTAAAAACTTGACTCTGCACAGGACACTAGGCTCAGTGCTCAGTGTCACTAGGGTACCAGAGATGGATCCTGAAAAGGCTTGATAATTGGGTAAGGCATGAACAGAAAGGACCACAACATGAGAGGGGCAGCCCAGACCCTGTAGGAAAACTCCTCAGCCAAGAGAATGTGGGGAAGGCTATACACAAGAGGTACACATAAATGAAATGTTAGAAGAAAGGTTGCCTTTGGGTTACAAAGGTGGAGGAGGGGTGTGTAAGTCAGATTCCTAACACCTGCGATATATCTGGCATCTGCAAATTAAGAGAGGAGAGATTTATTTTAGCCTATGGTTTCAGAGGGTTCAGTCCATGGTTGGTTACCTCCAAGGCACAAACATATGGCTGAAGGACTTGGTGGAGCAAAGATGCTCACCTCAAGTTGGCCAAAAGCAAAGACAGAGAGAAGGGAAGAGCCAGGGACAGGAATACACTCTTCTAGGTCACACCACCAGTGACCCAACATGAGACTTTTGGGGACATTTAGATCTAAATTATAACTGAGAAGCTAGTCCAAATGGCAATAGGAAGAGAGGTCAGGCCAGTGGTAGGCCCCTTCCACATCAAGTTTTCAAGTGTAGTGTGTGTGTGTGTGTGTGTGTGTGTGTGTGTGTGTGTTACTGGGGACTGAATCCAGGGCCTTTCCACTGAGCTACATCTCCAGACCTTTTTTTTTCTTTTTTGAGACAACGTCTCAGTAGTCACTACATTCTTGGGTTGGGTTCCATCTAGCAATCCTCCTCCCTCAGCCTCCTAGAATGCTGGGATTTCAGGCATGCACCACTATGACTGGCTGCTCAAGAGATTCTTTATAACAGTCACAAAGCAAGAGCACTCCTCCTTTCTCACCTTTTACTAGCTCTTGGAATGACATCCTAGCACAGCCCTCCCTCAGCGCTGGTAAGGCAGATACAACAGTGTTAGGGTTTGGGACTCTGGGTCCCCATTGCTCTCGTCACCTCCCTACTTGTAAGCCATATGACTAGAGTGTGACTCAACTCCTCAGCTGTGAAATGGGATCATGACCGTGCAGACTCCATTGACTATGGTGATGATTAAGCACACTGGTACATATATTATTGATCTCAGTGTCTCCCATGGTTATTCCTCAATAAATTGAAGCTACTGTTATAATTAATTATTACAAGGGTCTCCTAGTCTGCTTCTGCCTGGCTCTTCTGCTCCACATTGCTTCTCCCAGCCCTCTTCAGTTTGGTGAGCTACTTTCTGGCCTTTGCATTTGTCCATATACAAAAGTATGTGGCAGGAGCAAGGAGACGTTATCGTGTGACATCTGAAACTATTGTCCTCAGACATTGTTTACAGAATTTATATAATCATATTTGAAATTGAAGGAAGCTTAATGTTCTGAAATGAAGGTTCTAAATATTTTCTGTCTCAGTCACTGTTCTTGTTGCTGAGACACAATACTCAGTACTCACAACATAAAGGAGGAGAGGCTTATTTTGGTTCACGTTTTCAGTCCATAACTAGCTGGTTCTAAGGCAGAGAGGCTTGGTGGAAGGGTCTGGCAGGAAAAGGCTCCTCATGTCTTTGTGGGTAGGAAGCAAAGAGAGTGAAGGGAGGAGCTGGGAGGGGAGATACACCATTCAGGCCACTTAACGCCCAGTGGCCACTTCTTCCACCAGGACCCCACCTTCTAACAGCAAGTCTGCTGTAAGCCCCATGATCCACTCACCTTCCAAAAGCCCAGCCTATAAGCCCATGAGACTCTTGGGCGAAATCTAGATATAAGCCATGACATAACCTAAAAATAAAATTATGGATAGATACTCACAAAATTGCTGTCTTTTCTCTGCAGTTCACACTGAAAACTGAAGGAATGTCACAGGAACCTCTGGCCATGTCCAACTGCTCTGTTCCTATTCTTCTTAGGAGAAAGTCTTCGATCCAGAACAATGAGCCAAGCAGGGTAATCATGTAGCTGAACAGGTAATAATTATCCAAGAAACAGTGTACTGTCTTTAAGAAGATCAGCTTTAAAGGTCAAGGGAGTGGAAGTCTTCATAAAGGAGGGAACAATGTTAGCTATGTTGCTGTCTGCAGGAAAAGGAATCTACTCCTCCACTGGCAAAAATGCCTAGACTGCTTTTTTTTGAGGCTTGGAACTGATTTGTAAGGCGTGTTGGAAGATCTGAAAGAATGTGCATTCTTTGAGAAATGGCCCTCTCTATATTTTGTGTGACCTCAGACTCCCTTATAAGATATTTGTGAGCTATTCTTCAACACATTGAATATTTGACAAAAATTAAAATTCTTTCTGTCTCTTTCCTACCCTCTATCCCCACATCAAGAATGGTGAAAACACGTGAATTCACTCCTTCAGCAGATACAAAAGCTACATGGCTTCAGGTCTTATCAGCTATTCTATACTCCCCAAACCATTCTGGAAATTATTGTTTTTGTTTCACATCTGTAAATACACTCTCAATCCTAACTATGAGCTTGGCCTGGACCCACCCAGCCAGGTACCAGCAGAATCCACTTTTTGTGAATTGCTTTTGTGGTTTAAGGCACTGGGTAATTCCCTAGTCTACCAAAGATCTCAGATTCTTGCCTATAAACATCCATATATTTTAGGAACATGGTTCCATCCATCTGTCTGTCCATCTGTCCATCCATCCGTCCATTCATCATCCATCTATCCATCCAAATTCAGTAAATATTATAAGAATTTGTGAATTACAATCATTGCAAAATGTGAACAGTATGTGAGCCGCCAAAGAACAGAATTTATTTGCAATTAAATGCCAATGTTGTTGTCCAACATTTATTTACTCCTCCCCTCACAAGTCAGAGAAGCAGAGTTCTTTCAAATAAGGACATTCAGAAAATTATTAACTTTGAGAAACTTTGAGCTTTAAAATTGAAAGTGAGCCAGGTGTGGTGGCACAGGCCTGTAATCCCAGCACTCATGTGAGGCTGAGGGAGGAAAATTATTGTAGTTCAAGGCCAGCCTGAAACAGACAGCAAGACCCTTTCTCAAAGAAAACAAAAAAGTAAGTAAATAAATTGAATGTTGGCAAAATAACTTATATGTCATGAAAAAGTAGTGATATAAAAAAGAAAATAGATGCATTTTCAAATGCATATTAATTAATGTATTTGTTTTATTCTCACATCTAGTAATAATAACAGAAAACCCAAAGTCAAGAGAGGAGCTCAGTTTTTTCTGCAAATGTGATGGTGTGAAGGGGTTCTTAGTCTAATTTGGGGCTGTACAGATGATTGGCATTTTGTTATTTGTTTATGACACTTAAAAAGTTTTGGATTTTCGAACATTTCAGATTTCAGATTTTTGGATTAAGGATGCTCAACCTGTGATGAACAATGGCCCATGTATTGTGTAAAAAAAATTTTTGCACTACCAAAAAAAAGCACTGCATTTTTCACAAATTACTAATATTACTACTAATCAATATTCTATCAGTAAAATTGCTGGAAATACATTAAATATAATTCACCCTGTGTTAGATAACTACCAATCCATCATGTAAAAATCTGATTATATGAGTCTAACCCTAGGTTTTCTCAGATGCTAGTTATCATCAAAGCCCTTACATACTTCTCAAGAAAATTATGTATCACTTGATATGTAGTACAGCAGCCTACTTAATTCAGAATCCCCATGAAGATACACAGAGCTCTGTCATTCCTGTGTTCACACCATTCATTATTTAAGCTGTCAGTGTTCTTTAAAGTTCAATTGCATGGTGGAGTGAGGCCCAGTGGGAAGCCAGTGGGTAGCTGGGGATGTGCCCTTGGAGGGTAGCTCTTGGTGACCCACTGAGTTCTCCTGAAAGGGTCACCTATGCCACCTGCCAGCCCTTCCTGTTCTCTCCGCGCCTGCTTGGAGGTACATCTCTTGCTGGCTTTTGCCCCATGTGCTGCCACTGCCATCTGCACCTGCAGGAGGCAGCCAAGGGGTGGCCCTCACCAAAGAGCCTTGCTATGACACTGACACTTTGAACTCCAAACTATGAGCTAAATAACCCTCCCTTCCTCAAAAGCCTGTATTTCATTATAGTGAGTCAGAGTTAATACAGAGCTCGGCTCCAGAGCAGATGGCCAATGACTAATGAGTAAGAATATTGTATATAATGGCTCTTTGGGAACACAGATCTGTGTGGATTCCCAAGTCAATAGTGAAGCATACTTGACTGCTGGTACCAGGTAGGGGACTTGAGACCCTCAGAGAGCACAGTCATGGCCCCATGTGGAATAGTCCAGGAGTGCTGCCTATACTTCCCTTCTGTGAGGATTCCTCTTCCCCTTGGGGAGCACACAAGGCTTGTGCAGCCTTCCTCCAGGGAGACTGGGGAACTGGAAAACTGGTGGACCCCTTTACTACACCAGCCCAATGGGGAAGGTTTGGGGGATCCCAAAGAGCAGTACAACCACACCTAAGCCACTTAGGTCTGTCTTGTGCTTTCCCCGGCCTAGAATTCTTTCCTACAGAACTCATCACCAGCACCCCATGACTCCCTCCCAAGTGTGTTACTCTCTCCTCTCTTTATGGGGTACAGTGCCACTGGGACATTCAGCTCCTACTAGAATCCGCTTGCTAATATGTCAGTCTGTCACTACTCTGAATACTGTGAGAAGAGAGGAATGTTTACCTACACCTGTGTCTGCAAGCTTCAGGGAGGATTTGACAGCCACTCATCATTCAGTGGAGTCACTGCCGTATTTCTGAAGCCTCTTCAGTCACAAGCACAGTGTGAGGATGAGTTCCTGAGTGAATGGATGGGTAAATAAGTAATAAACTGTAGACCTCCCTGGTACAATGACTTCGTGAGACAGAGGGAAAAGCTGTAATTGCCTGCTTGACCTTCAGGCCTCTACCATGCCCTGATCCCTACTTTTGCCACTGCACATTGCTGACCCCCTGGTCATTCCCTCTCCGCACAAAGCATTTGTCCACCCCTGCTCCCACCATCACCTCAGATGACTTCAGGGACTCCAAGAATGATTATTCGGGTCACAAAGTGTCCTTACGTCCTTACCTCCCGCAGTCTTTTCCTTGAGTCCCATGTCACACCCTGGGCCTCAGCTTTTCCCAACTCCCTGGAGCAAGCATTGGCTGCTTTTCCACCCCTCTTGCTTGCTCAGTTGCCACCACTGCTATGTGGCCACCCTGTTACTGCTACTCTTATTGCCTCAGCCTACCCATCCCCTCCATTCTCCATTTCTCATTACGCATGGGTATCATACCAATAATACCTCAACCCACTTCCCTGCTACCTTCCCCTCACTGGGATAATTCCACACCCTGCTTTACCTACTCCTGGGACCTCTCTGAAGACACATTCATTGGGATCGAAGCGACATCATGATTCTCATCGTCAAAGAGGATATCATCTTAGTCTGTTTTCTGTTGCTCTAACAGAACACCACAGTTGGCGTGACTTATGAAGAGAATGTGTTCATTTGGCTCATGGTTCTGCAGGCTCAGAAGCCCAAAGGCCTGGCAAGAACATCTATTGAGGGCTTCATGCTGCATTGTCTCATAGCAGAAAAGCAGATGGCCAAACAACCTCCTCTGGACATGAGGGGTGGACTTGCTTTATAGCAACCTGCTCTCATGGTAACTAAGCTGCTGCCAAAGTAATGACAATCTATGCACGAGGTCTCCACCCCCATAACCCAAATATCTCTCGGGACTTGCAGCACAAGGGATCAAGCACCTGACGAGTGAACGTGGGGGACACATCCAAACCCACAGCAGACGCCAAGCTGCCCCCCAATCCCGCTGCATTCCTAGGGTGACTCACTCTCCCTGATACCCCAGCTTCCCTTCGCATCACTTGCCTCCTACTTCCCAGAGAAAATGAAAGTCATCAGACAGAAACTCCATGGATCCCTCGCTATGGGCTGCAGCTGTGCACCTACTCATGCACATATGCAAGCCCTTGGCCCGCCTGCTGCCAAAGCTGTCCCTGTCCACGTCAAAGCTCCCCCTTCCCCATGTCCTCCTCTCCCCTCAGCGACCTTACAGTTACGCTTCCCTCTCCGCCTTGGCATATCGAGTGACTTTCTCTCAACCTCACCATCCCGTCAGCAGAGACGCAGATGGAAATCCCTTCCCTCTTCCCTCATGACGTGCCTCTCTGGCTACTTGTAGGCCCCATGCCTCCCCTAAACAGCTAACACGACATTAGGTATGCCTCCATTTCTTCCCTTCTTCCTCCTCCTTCAGCTGGGTGCCTCTATCATTCCGAAACAGCCCCTGCAAAGGACATCGATGCTGGCTGTCCCGTGACTCTCAGGGGTATGTTTTTAGCCTTCCCATTGCTAGAAACGACTTGACTCGCCAGCAACCTTCACAGCTCCTGGCCTCCCCTGCTGCAGAGCACTTTCCCTCCTTGAATCCTGGGATATGACACTCGTGTGTTCTCCTCCTTGGCTACACTCTTTCTCCTTCTGGGCTCCTCTCCTCTACATGGCCTCTCCTGCTATCAGCTGACACCATTCTTCAAAGTCCTTGTGGCTCTTTCCTTCCCACTGTCATCTTCTCCCACACTGATTTCATCCAGACTCATGCTTTCATCATCATTTACAACAGGATGAGTTGTGCCCCCGAAAGATGTTGGAGTTCTAGCCCCCAGGACCTGTCTGTCTTTGGAAACAAGGGCTTTGGAGATGATAAAGTTAAGGGTTACAGTTTGTGTCTAGATGTCCCCTGAAGCCTCACGTGGTCATAGGGCTTTTTCAGAGGTAGCTGACTCTAGAGTATGTGATTCTGGGATTAAGGGCGTGTGATTACTAAATCAGTCCACTGATTGGTTTGTCACTGCCCTAATCCTGGTAGTCTGGTTAAGATAGAAGGGGCAGAAAGGGCTATAAAGGCCCCTTGTTGCTTTGCTCCTTTCAGTGCACCATGAACTGTTGCCCCTCTGCCATGTGCTACCCTGCCTTGGAGCCAGCCAATGATGGACTGAATCCTCTACAAACTGTGAGGTACATAAACCTTTCCCCCTTTGACTTTGGGTGTC